CCCCACCAATGCTTAGTCATCCTTTATTTCGTTGGTTTGAGTTAAAACAAGCCAAGAGTATGTGATTATGATTTTTTGTCAGCGTAAGGTCTTCCTTTTAGCTAACACTTATTCATCGGTGCAAGTGACATGGCCTTGAGAGTCAATTTGTGGCTATCAGGCACCGCCCGAGTTCCTGTTTCTAGTGCAGTTGAGAAGACATTGGCCCGTGCACTGAGCTGGGAGGAGGTTTAGGTTTTAGGGTTTAGGTACTCTGGATGGCCCTCAAGCGGGGCCTAAAGAGGAATCAACGGCTCACAGCCAAAAGTGGAGGTGGAAGCGCTCTGGGAGTAGCTGTCGACCATGAGGCTGGAGCACTTAACAAAGTTGACAACTCTTCAAGTGGAGCTGGTTTACATTCAATTGACCAATTTGGTTCAACAGACCTGTCAGCCGGAGAGATCTTTGGGAATGATCTTGAATCTTAATTTAATGTATATGTATAATTTGATTTGGAAAAATAGTAATTTAATTTTGAAAAATGTGAGGCCGAACAGATCTCATATATTTCAATAGTTTAAATGATCGAGAACAATGCTAAAAGCAATGCACCTATCCTAAAGGATAAACACATTACTTGTTAGCAGACTCGATTAAATAAATTAAAACAGTTTATAACATCTGTTTGGTTTACGAACCTTTTTTATATATTGCCCATGCAGCATATACATGAGTAACCCAGGAAAGGAACATTAGGAAGCTGTGAAGTGGATTTTGAGGTACCTAAAAGGCTCTTCAGACATCTGTTTATGTTTCTCAGGAAAGTGTTTAGAGGCATTGGGCTATGTTGATGTTGATTTAGCTGGAGACATTGACAGTAGGAAGAGTACTACATGTTATGTTTATAATATTGGTGGTGTTGCAATGTCATGGGGCTCAAATCTACAGAAGATAATTTCTTTATCCACGAAGAAGCTGAGTATATTGCAGTGTTAAAGGCTGCAAAGGAGATGATATGCTTATAGAGTTTCTTGGAAGAATTGGATAAGGAGATTCAAAAGGGCACTCTCTACAGTTGTAGTTAGAGCGTCATATTCCTTATCAAGAATCCAACATTTTAATCCAGAACCAAACACATTTAGATCAGGTACAACTTCATACAATCATTGTTAGATGACATACAATTATTACTTGAGAAAATTTGTAGAAGCAAGAACCCTACTGATATGTTGACTAAGAGTGTCACTCTTGAGAAACTGAGGTTGTGCTCAGCTTCAGTTGGTCTTCTAACATAAAGACAAGGGCTTTTAGTTGCAGTGGTGGAGTATACCACACTTGAGGAAAAGAGGACAATGTAACTAGTGTCCCAGTCTTCAAGTGGAAGAATTGTTGGGTAATGTGGAGCCTGATTTACTACATGCTAATTGGGCGAACCTTGCATCTTAGGAATGTTTCTGAAATATTTAATTTCCTATATTTGCCCGTGTTCCCGCGCTCCCCAAATTCCTCCGCTCGTCCGCCTCTTCTTAATTCACAAATCAAGTTTTTCCTTAATGGGTCGAAGAATTGGAAGGAATTAAAAGCAACGACTGGAATTGAAAATTAAATGCTCACCTGCTCCATTGGAATTTTTCTTCGGAATGGCTTTACGTGAAGAATAATAGCTCTCGGTTAGAGAGAGAGAAAGGAGAGAGAGAACTCTTTCTTGTAAGTCGACGTGATCGACGGTGTAATCCTCAGATTAATAAAATCTTCTGTAGCTCCATGGACGTAGGCAACTTGTTGAACCACATAAATCTGTTTGTTTTTGTGTTTTATATTTTGCAAATTTTCTTGTTCTAATTTTTTGCTTTGCTGCAACAACATCTACCTATCACTTGTCTGTTTTGTGGCATTCTCCTACATTTATTTCCTTTTAGCCGTGCCATGTCTCTTTAGATGCTTATAAGATAATCAGGTGATCAATCTTTTGCCTGAAGAATAAATTTTGTTGATTTGTGAAATAGTTATACATGCATGCTGAATGTGTTATTATTTGGCCCTTTGAATCAACTATTGATGAGTCAAAATGTTCATCATTTAGAACATAATTCTTCTCATTTTGTCTAGCTCTTATACGATCCTTACATGTACATTAAATGATACAAGTTCTCTTTATTGCATATTGCATAGACCTCACCATATAAAAAATCATAAATCAGTTTTTAGAATGAACAAGGACAACCTGGCTAAAATATACCAAACAATACAAAAAAGGTTTATATAAGTCTTTCATGACAAGAGCAGCAAGCAAATTAATTCAAATTGGATAACCTATAGCTGTATGATTTCACTCTTATTTGACCGTACATTGAAAATATGCCAACACAAATCGCAAAGTCATCTCGTGGATGGCAGAGGAGGTGATATGGCCCCGCTGGATCTACCTAGAATGATCCAGGACCACACGCTCAATCGGCCAGTCCTACGTACTAGGAAGGTGGTGCATCTCAGACGGATGAGGGGTACATCACTCCTAAGGAATCCATCTAACCAGACCAGCTCGTATGAACCAGCAGCCTTCCAACTCAAATAAATTGAGAAAACGAAACAAATCATCCAGCTTCAAGATAGTTGATGTGGGCTTTCAACAAATAGCCGCCCCACCTAACAATTGTGCAGTGAACGTGGAGCCATACCATTGACTAAAAGAGGAGCATGAAAGTCATAGAGAGAATGGAACAACCAAAGAGCAGCGGCCAACTTGCATCCACCTCGAAATGACATAGACTAACGCTTATAGAGAGGAAGTCAGGGGACAAGAACTTGATAATAAAGCTGATATCAAACCAAGATGGTGCATGATATGCACAGATTGAAAGGTAATGAGTAGGGCATACCGAGGTGCTAGAGATAGAAACTCCATCTGGGCCCGTCCGGATGAGAATCTTCTGTATCGGCGGGATAGTCCCGACTATCCTTGAAGGTACGGATGCCCCCCAACAAAGCTCCCAAATAAGGACCAGGATGGGTGGGGTTGTGCAACCTCACAGTCATGCAGAAGGGAGGAGATTGTTCCCCCATCATGTTCACAAACGATGATCTTCCCAAGAGGGGAACCCCTACAACGAAGCTATAGTCGTTACGAAGATACTTAGTAATTTTCAAGTATACAAAAAAGACCAACATAGAAATATTGGAGTAGTTTTGAATAAAGGCCCAAATAACACATTTAATTTCATACCACTACTGGTAGCTCTTTTTTTAAAATGCAAAGGCAAATTATAAATCTAAACTTAGGATTTAACATAATGCAAAACATGAACTATAAAATACAAAATTATAGAAGCAAATATTCTTATGTGCTTCAAGCATGACTAAATTGTGATTATGATATCAATCAAATTGTGATTATGATTTAAGTAACTACCACCCAGTTCTTATTTATTAACATATTAATCATCAAAATTTTAATTTTTACCTATAGACCACTCAAATTATACTGAAAATATAAAAAAAAAAACAGATGATTTGTATATAAAAATTGAAATTTGGGAGATTAATCTGTTAATATTAAAAGCTAAAAGATGAAATAGGAAGAACAAGAGATTGCAAACAAAAAGCTTACTTATAATACCATAGAGAAAATAGTTAGGCGTTTAGCTGGCTTACAGAAAGGAAGATAGAGTAACCAGCCAAGGAACCTTTTCCCTTCTTAATTTCATAATTGCAGGTCTTTTAAGCCTAAAGGTAGGGGCAGAACCAATCTTTTTTTTTTTTTTTTATGGTGACAACATAAGGAGAAAAAATTGCGTACGTAAGACGTACACAGCACTGCATACGTCAGGGAGGTTACTCAGATGTTATTAGGAGGTTATATCCGCATTATACCCCCTGTAACCTACCTATAACCTACTTGCACCTTATAGTAAGTTTCAATTTTCTGTTTTCATATATTTTTATGTTACAGGTATGTTACAAGTAGGTTACAGAGAGATTACATGGGGTATAACGCAGATATAACCCCCCAATACCCTATGAATAACCTCCCTAACGTACGTAGCGCTGGGTACGTCTTACGCACATAAATTTTTTCCCAACATAAGAGGGCTAAGTGATATTTCAAAAGGGACAAAAGACCAAATTTTCCTCTCATGTACACAAGTGAAAATCCAAAAAATTTAATAATGTTGCATATTCCAATAAGTTTCATACTACAATATTATTTTCTAGTTTCTTGCTATTGTCTTGAGAAACATAGAGCCCTTCAATTATAATGATTTAGTAATATTGAAAAATCTAATAAATTCACGCTAAAATACTCTTTCATTATTATTTATTATGTTCATGGTCTGTGAACTAATCTAGTTGATGTCAATGTAAGCCTAGACAACAATTAGAGAATCATCATAAAAAAATGTTATACGCATCTAAAATTTGATTAAAATACTTGAATTAATGAAAGGCAAATTTTTGATTTAACCAAATTAACATTCTCCAAACTAGACAAGTGTTGTAGGTAATGGATGAAGAGCAAGCGAGCGCGTGCAAAGTATAAGACTAGAGATGGATGAGGTAGGTTGGGAGGTCGTTGCGTTGCTGCAATAATCTCTGAAATACACGAGAATTGGAGCCGGATTAATGATGAAATATTCTAAAAATGAAGATGTGGAAGATTATTAGTGACCTATAGAATAGAATATTGCGTATGTAATCCGGATACATCCAGACTATATGTATAATATTGTATTTGTTGTACACATTTGTGAACGACAAGTACAATAATGGTGTACTTGCAATCCGTATGCGTTCAGATTTTGAACTTTGCATGTAATATTTTATCAAATAATAGAGGCATTGAATGGGAAAAAAATTGCGTAAATAAGACAGATGTAGAGCTGTGTACGTCTGTAACCTGCAAACAAGTTACATGGAGGATTTTATGAGGTTATAACCCCATTATACCCCCTGTAACCTTCCTATAAAGGTTATAACCCCATTATACCCCCTGTAACCTTCCTGTAACCTATCTGTACCTTCTAGTAAGTTCCGCGCTTCTGTTTTCATATACAGGTAGGTTGTAGAGAGGTTACATGGGGTATAACGCGATTATAACCTCCCAAAATCCTTCCTGTAACCTGTTTGCAGGTTACAGACGTACGCAGCTCTGCGTACGTCTTATGTACGCAAATTTTTTCCCATTGAATGAGTGATTTGCTTGCAAATATTAAACTTTAGGTGTTAAAAACGTAAGTATTAATGTACATAAGTAAATACCCAATTCTATCAAAATGATCTTAAACAATTAACACACATAAATTTATTTATGATATATATTTTATTAATTATAAATAACTATTTTATTATTTTATTATGTTGTCATATATTTTAGGCAATTTTTATTTTATTTTATATTTATATTATAATAGAAATATTTCTCCTTAATTTTTTAAGTCCGTTATAATTAAAATTAAATAAAAATATATATATATATGAGAAAAAATTGCTTACGTAAGACGTACATAGCGCTGCGTACGTTGTTAGAGGTTATACAAGGGGTATAAAGTAGTTATATCCGCATTATATCCCCTTGTAACCTCCATGTAACTTTCTGTAACATATCTATAATCTATAAATAAAATTTTAATATATAAAAATAGAAGCGTAAAATTTATTTATAAATTACAAATAGATTACAGAAAAATTACATGAAATTTATAATGAGTTATAACACCCATATCCACCGCATAACCTCCAAAAAAATAACCTTCAAAACGTAAGCAGTTTTCCAGATAAAACAGGTTCCTCTCCTTTGTCCGGTCATTCGTTCGCTCCATTGCCCTTCCCCCAATGATTTCTTTGCCAATGGAGTCGCTCTATGGAATTTCTAGGGTTCGTAATATCTCTTTTTTCTCCTCGTTAGACCTTCTTCTTCAAGGAAAGAGGTTGGCACCTTTCGCTGTCTCTCTTCGACAAGAAAATTCTGCTTTGTTGCAGCTGAAGGAATTCAGCGTTGGGAGAATAAGAGATGGAAATCGCCGGAGGAAATGTAGGCTTAATACCGTTGTTTCCGTGGTAAGTCGTACTTGTTGATGCTTCACTGAGTGTGATAATTTTTTCCTGCAAGTTACTCGCACCAGTTGTTTGTGCAAATGCTTGTTACACATGATTTTTTTGCATTACCAGTTGTCAGGGTTTATCTTCAAGTTACGAAACATATTTTTTTTTTATTAATTTGAAATTTTAATCTGTGATTTGGGTTGATACGAAGCTTAAAACTAGGAACTTTTTTTTTTGGACTTCGCTGAAGTTGTGTTTGGAGAAGAATGCTACTATATTTTCTGTTTTTTTTTTTTTTTGGCTGATGAGATTGGAATTGAGAAAATAGAGTGGTACTGGATGGTTGGGGCCAATTTAGAGCTTATTTTGTCTTGCGCTTAGCAAACTAGAGAAGATGAAGCATGTAAAGTTTCCTGCAATTGTGCTGAACATAGTAGGTTTTGAGTTTAATTGTTATTGGTGAAGGAGTATTATTTGTAGATTTACTATAAGTTTCACTAAATATGGCGGAGATGGATTTTTTGGCAATCTGCTAGTGTTCAATCTTTTTGTGCATTATTTCGATGGTGGGGAAAAAGTTGGGGTTTTCTTGTTTGTTCATGCATGAGAATATAGAAGGCTAAGTGCGACATTTCTTGATTAGGAGTTCGAGCCATCTTGAAATAGTCGAATTGGCTGGCTTAGGAGTGGGCCAGCTAGGTAGCATCGACTCAATCAGACCAGGTTTTTGTTTGCGTGTTGTAAAAGGCTACGTGCGACAGAGATGTGTTGGGTGATGATAGACTCGCCACAATGGTTGCTTGCTGGTCAGTGCAACAACCAAGAGGATGTTTTAATAGCACTTTATGTTCTCATTATTGGTTGTATTTTGGCGGCTTGTGATAATTTCCCCATGTGCACATTGCAATTCAAGTTATTTTTGAAGATTCAAAATTCTCAAAGTTTGTTTTGTGAGACATGTATCTTAGCACACCTTTCTTGGGGAGAGAAATTGATTCATCTAACAATCTTATGAAATTATTGTTGATTTTTGTTGGGTCCATTCAAGAGACAGAGATTCATTTTGAAACTTTCTGCACAGATTTAAATTGTGCAGCCTAAAGTGTGCCTTGCAATTGAGCCCAATGGTGCTATGTGGCACACATTTTAGGTTTCTTAGGTGAGGTGTATGCCGCATGTTTGATGGGGCATGTCGGGGTGTGCCTTGCCTCAAACGCATCGAGGTGTATGCTTTGATATTTAGGGGTTTTGAATTTATTTTCTACTTAATCTAACTTGCACCTGCACAGCTCGGCTTGCACTCCTTACACAAGTATGGTCTGTGCTTTCATTCATCATATCATTGTAGCCAGTCGTCTCTAGTATTGTAGTAGCTGTTGGTGCTTCCTCCTGTTTTTGCCATTGTTGCTGCCATCGTCAATGCTTCCTGCCTCCACCATTGTCATCACCGCCTCCTAATTTTGCCATTGCACACGTGATCTTACATCTCATGCAAGGTCTTTCCTCTTGCATATGCTGGCCATCCTTATTGTCATTATTGGCCCTGCTACCTGCTTCTTGTTGTTTCTACTGCTACCATCGTGGCTTCCTAGTTTTGTCGTCACTGTTGTCGTTGTTGTTGCTACCTCCTTCATTCATAGCCACTTGTTGCAGTCAATATCTTATGAAAATTTTGTGTAAGAATATTATTATAGATTTTGTATCAGGACAGACTTATTTTTACATGTACTCTTAGCTTCAATCTTATATGTTTTCTCTTAATATCTTTAATTTTTTAAATATTATGCCTAAATTATCAAATAAATACAAATAAGTTAGACTACAACTAAATTATTAAATATTCATAAGATCTTTTACTATTTCGATTATATTTCTAAACTTCTAATAGTTTTGTTACATTGTCTAAATAGTTTAGTTATATTGAAGGATAACATATGATGTGTAAAATGAAAAACACATATTATAAATATAAGATATTTTTATAAATTTTTTAAATATTCATTATATCTACTTTTAGTCCGAGCGTGACCCAAAAAATAAACAAGCTTAAATATTTAGTTCATAGTTTAATTATCATTTTTTAAATTTTTGATAAATTAATTTTATTGCTTGGGAATGCATGTTGTTAGGTTTTAAAAAAGCAAGAAAATCATAATGAAAATTCAAATTTTGAATATTAAAATATTAATATTTAAAAATTTTTATAATATTTAAATATTTGCGTATAGATAAAAAGGCTACCTGCCACCTATAGATTAATAATGTTGAATTTTAATAAAAATTTAATTTTAGTTTTTTCAAAAAAAAAAAAAAAAAGAAATTTTGGAGTAAAAAAAAAATCCACAAATGATATTAAGGATCCTTCGTTGAAATATAGTGTGCTAGTCGATATTAGAGATAATAACAGGATATTTATTTATTTGAATTGCAACTACTAGGGAATTTAGTTAAAGGGGGTAGGAGGATGAAGGAATACCTTATCAATTCACACAAAAATGTTGCACCATGTGTTAAAGTGCCAAAAACAGTAAAAGACGAGATTCAATCATATATGAATTAGTTGTCAGTTTTAAAGTACCTTGCATAACAACAATTTGATGATGCAGTTGTTGTCAGCTCTTATCATGGGAGTGAAAATAGGGATAGAGATTCATCATCATCTTTGTCACCGATATCTATTAAAGCTGCAAGAAGTTTCATGAACTATTATATGTTAAAGGTGGAGGATAATAGTGGTTATGGAGAGGAGGCAACTGTAGCTCAAAGGATATCTCCACAATACGTTAAAGAGACATGCAACCTTGTCTACTTGGATAAGAGAGATTTTTTTTAGGAGAATGTAATTCTATTCCATTTAGCAACCTCCCATTCTTATTTTAATATGATCCATTCTGTAATTGTTTATGGTCGAAGCTTGAAACTCTTTTTCATATATGATTTGAGGATGTGGGTGTTGAAGGAGGAGCTATGTAACATAGATAAATACTTAGATTATAAGGATTTAGAGTCAGACTAGAGTAACAATCATATCTAATGGGTGTATTGACATAAAGAATAATGTTTGGATTAACATTCTGATAAAGTCTTTATAATACTATTTTTTAGAAATATGTAGAAGCATTTAATTGGATGAAGGATGCATAATATATTTTGAGTATTTGATGGATTCATAGAGGTGATTCGAGCTAGTGTTTATGAGACGACTAAAAATAAGTTGATGTAAAAAAAAATCTTTATTGGACACATTGTGATGCACTATACATAGACCTAATTTTAGAGAAGTTTAATGACTCGTCTCAGCATAAAAATGCAGTGCTATCATGTATATAAGATATGATTGAACATGTACGTTGTCTTCTTTTTTTCTATAAAATTTTGTTTGTCTTGATTATTTCGCTGTCGCTGAGTTTGTAACTCACTCGTAGATGTTGATTTTCAAGAAGGGTTAAGAAACACTAGGGCGAGTAGTCAGGTGTGATGTTGTACAATTTTTGCATTGTATATTTTTGGAAGCTACAAAGACCTTTAGGATACATATTTTTATTATATTAGATTTTAACAACTTTGTATGTATTTTAGTGACAATATTGTGCACGTTTTCAAGTATATGAGAGTGTGAATAAATTATGAACTGAAATAGATTTTGGATATATATGTCGCGACGATTTAGTTAGACTAATTTAGTGCACACTGAGTCCTAATTTTGCAAAGTTAGGATGAGTGCTGAGAAGAATTTTGTTTGACTGAGTTGTGTGCCTTTGTTGCACCACGATTGACCTTAAATAGGGGTCAGCTGAGGTGTGATAGCAAGTGGTATCAAAGCAATGATGGATGAAGGTATTGAGGGTAAGGCTGTTTGGATTTAGAAGAATGAAATTAAATTATGAATCAATTAATACAAAATTAATTGATTTGGGGTGGGCAACTCATATAATGTGAGTTATGATGCATGCTTGTCATAATTAATATATGATAAATTGCTTTTGAATGATAAATTATGTCAATGCAGATAAATATATCAGAAGGAGTATACTTCCTCGAGGCTCTGCTAGGTTTCGCCTCACGACGAAACCCTAGCTCTGCTACCTGTATTCCACGCTCGTAGAAGAAGGGGAGTGCGCTCGTCTGTTCCGTCATCGCCTGTTTCGTTGGCAAGCTGTAGGGTTGATCGGGATCGTGATCCGCTTGTTTCCGCGAGTTCGACGACCCGATCGAGCTGTGCCTGTGCTGCTTGCGTTTCTGTTTTTGACCAGTACACGCCTTCCGTCCTGCGATTCTTTCCGCGGGTTCGACGACCCGATTGAGCTACGCCCGTGCTGCGTCGTCGCTGGCTTTTGCTTTTGCTGCGGGCTGAAGTGAAGGATCGTTGTTATGACGCTTTCTTCTTCTTTGATTGATCCTGACAGTTTTTTTCGCCCACGTGGTGGATAATCATTTAGCGGAATCTACTATTGTCTTCCCCTCAAGCTATAAGGAATGTCGTGATGGTACGAGCGATTACCCTTTTCTTAAGAAGATAAGCAGGAAGAGTGAAAAAACATCATTATCTTTTGTTGACTTCATTTTTGGTGAGGTCTAGTCTTCCTCTTAGGGTTTAGGATCTAGCCTTAGGGATTTCCCTTTGACCATCTTAGAACCTTAAAAATGGGACCCGCCTCATTTTAGAAATTCAACCTACTTCTGTACCCTTTTGGAGTTTCGCGTGTGTGGTATCCACTTCTAGCACTTAGAAGGGTGAAACCAACATGAGGAAACCCAAAAGGAATTCCTATAGGACCTTTTGAGCCTTAGGGTGACCTTTTGCATAATTCGCACTCCCGCGCGCACAAACTTCGCAATTCGGAGAGTCGACACGTCCGATCGCCATAATTCGCATCGCTTGCACCGTTACCTGTAGAAAACTCGAATAAACTTTTTGAGAAGATCGATCGCGGGTTGAAATTTTGTGAAGTTTGAATTTTGAAGCGTTTTTGACCCGATTGTCGACGATGTCGTCCGAGCGACCCCAGACGACA